CACAGGAGCGTGTACACTTTTCAGAACTCGTAACACAGTGGAAAATTGGAAGCTCATTGTTCGCTAAAGCTATGATTATGGCTGTATTAATTGTAATTAATTTGGAATTTTATGAAGTTAAATGTAAAATAAACCTGTCCCTATGCATAATTAAACACTGCAACATGACGACTTTTGGGGGAATGGAGGTGTATGTTCACGCATTCTTAACCTTGGAAATAAATGTTAATCAGTGATTAGCTTCTCGCCCTGGCTGGTTTTTGTCCTTTTTTCTAATTACAGTATCTTCAAAATCAATTTGTATTTTGCGAACTTTATTTGATTTTTTAATTATTTAAATTTCTTTTAAGTTATTGCTTAAATTTAACTTTGTTACTCGGTTAACATTCTGTTCACAATATCCAACATCTTAGCTCAGCGTTTCTTAGTCGATATACCGCGATATTTTCAGTCCAAAAGAGTTTATACTCAATTACCAATAATCCACAAAATTTGGTATTATCAGTTAAATCTTCTTAAGCCACATTTTATCACCGCATTGGGTTTCGCTGTTCTCTGCGTCTGTGTGTTCATATTTCAATAATTCAATATTTATCACTCTTCCCGGGATATTTATTCTTCATTTTAGTCAAACATTATTCTGTGAAGTTTGTTACTTATTACTCGTTCTTACAGTGTTGTTAATCTGTTAAATTATCCTATGAACTCTAATATATAGCACATAGAACTGTCATGTGTTTCCTAGATAACGCGGTAAGAAATTTATGTGGGTCTCGGATTAGACGAATATGTTTATTGGACAATCACTTTTTACGCTCACTAATACAATCACTCGGACTTATAACGCCTTCGGACGTTTCTTCGTCAACTGTTATACACTCTACACCGCTGTTCTCGGTGGAGTGTCTTGGTTCTTTGTTCATCGAAGCTGGACTGACTCCTGCTCTAGTCGGATACGAACTGACTTGGTCCTCTGAACTGCTCTTCGCTTATACCCTACGCTCGGACGGGATAGAGGCGACCTTGTCGAAAGGTTCACTTTCGCTGTTAGCTGGAATATCCGTTGCCGCGGGAATTCAACAATTCTGCTTCTGTTGCGTAGGCAGTTTCCTATGTAGCGTGCGTTCTCAATGTCCGTTGCGCAGCGATGGATGTCCTATAGTCCTGCTTTCAGACAGCACGTCACAGAATTATGTAAGTGAAAAACAAACTGGAGTATTTGTCCTTCTGTCTGCTTTATAAAAACATAAACATAGGTATATAAAGCCCTGTACGTATAACTTTGTTTCTTATTTTGTATAGGTATGAATCTTTGTCTCTCACAATAAGGGAATAACTTACACTGGACGTGTTTAAGAACCGGGTGCTCAGGAAAATATTTGGACTTAAGAGGGAGAAAGGAACACGAGGTTGAAGAGAACGACACCTTGATAAGTTGTATAACTTACAGTCACCAAATATTTTTAGGATCATACAATCAAGAAAGATGAGATGGGCAGGTAGGTAGCACGCACGAGACTGGAGAGAAAAAAACACAAAATTTTGGTCGTAAACCTGAAAGAAAATGTATAATTCTTTATTATGCTTATTTACAATCTACATCATTTTAGAGTATTAAGTGAATGTGTTGTAGGTGGTTGGCTTGCAAGGGAAACATCCAGTGATGTTTCTCCTACGTGTAGTCTATTTCATTGACTGATGACGTTCTGGGGCCATGTTTTGTTCAGTCTTTTTGTCACTGGACCGTTGGTGTATAGCACTTCTGTTAATTAGTTGTCATGGTTTACAGTTTGGTTTTTGTACCTTTCAGCCATTCTTAGTATTTCATTTTTGACGAAGGGTATCTTTAGGTCGTTATGGAGTGTAAGGTTGCTCACACACCATGACGCGTCTGCAATTGCCCCTAGTGTTTTTGATTGGAATCTCTGGATGAGATTGATTGTCGACGGCTTTGCACATCCACAGGGTTGAAGACCATAGGACCAAATAGGTTTCAATATAGCTTTGTATAATAATATTTTGTTAGTCATAGAGAGCTTTGATTTTCTATTGAGAAGCCAATACATTTGACGATATTTCATGTCAAGCTGTTTTCTTTTAGTTTGGATGTGTTTTCTCCAAGTGAGCCTTTGATCGAGGTGGAGGACGAGATACTCTGTTTCTGTGACTGTAGGTATTTGCACATTGTTCATTGTTACTTGTGGGCACATTTCGTGTCCCGCGGTGAATGTTATCTGGACAGGCTTCCTTTGATTAACTTTGTTCGCCAAGTGGTGTACCAGTCGCTGAGCAAATTAAGGTGATTTCGCAGGTTTTGAGCCGCTGTTAGTGGGTTTTCACTAATAGTAACGAGAGCCACGTCATCAGTGAAAGATGCTATCTTGGTGTTTTCGGTTTCAGGTATATCAGCTGTGTAGATCGTAAATAGCATTGGTCCCAGGACACTGCCTTGTGGAACTCCGGATGGGATATACGTAGATTGGATTGTGAGTCTGAATGCTTGACGGAGAAGTTTCAGTTGGAAATGTATTATTGTAGAAGGAAATAATAATTTTGAGACAGTGAGATTTTTAATTTGAAGAGTAAGCCTTGGTGCCATATTTTGTCGAAGGTTTGGGATATATCAAGAAATGCAGCGTTACAAAATTTATTTTCCTCGAGACTCCTGGAGATTTCATTTACAATTCTGTGAACTTGATGGGTTGTAGAGTGCCGTTCGCGAAATCCGAACTGATGATTGGGAAGTATTGTTGGTAGCTCATGATCTGCATATATCCTTTGAAGGAAAAGTCTTTCCAAAACTTTACTGGTGACAGGTAGACGACTAATGGGTCCATATGACGATAGTTCTTGTGGGGGCTTTCCAGGTTTGTGTATCATTATTATTTCGGCGTATTTCCAAGTTGTAGGGAAGTAGGAGAGCCTTAATATGGCATTGAATATGCTGCATAGTAGAACGATAGCTTTTTTTTGGAAGTGCTTTTAATATCTGTCCAGTGATGAAGTCATATCCTGGGACTTTGCGTGGGTTGAGTCGATTTGTTTCTTCCTTGACTTCCTTAGGAGAGAAAGCTTTTATGGGCAGAGACATTTGGCAAGGGGTATTGAGAGAGTCCCCCTCGTTGGTGTCTCCGCCTTATCGTGGTGAGGGGGTTTGAGTATGCTAAGGACCCTGAGAGCTATACCAGCGGCAGCGTAGCTACTGGCCTCCCTTGCTGGACAGGTCAAAGGGTAGGCATCAGACGAAGAGAGACACCGAAAACTGATGTCGGAAGCAGCGTCATCAGCAGCGACTTGAAGCACAGAGCAAATGACGCTCGAGATGGTTCAAGTTCGTATAGCAACAGGCGTGACCAGAGTGGTTTGAACGGCTGCTGTACTGCGATGTGGAAAGCAAATGGAAAAACTACCACATTATCACTTTTCCTGGATAGTCTCTTTCCAAAAACAGAAGATCGCATTAAGTGGAGGAACTGTTTTGGAAGAGATTGTGGACCTGTCGTCTGACAGATTACTGATGAATGAATGAATGAAAATTGAGAGAGTCTTCCATTTCTTCATCTTCGTCATCTGGTTCCGTTTTGAAGACTTCAGTTAAGTGTGAAGTAAATATGTCAATTTTTTCTTTGTCTGAACGAGCCCACTGCCTGTTAGGTTTTCGAATTGGAGGAACATGCGCTTGTGGTCTTTTTAGTTTTTGTGTCGCTTTCCACAGTGTGTGACCGTTCGCAGAGAGATTGGTGATATAGTGCTCGAAGGTGTTGTTTTGAGCATCCCTAAGGGCCTTTTTTAGTTCTCTGATTAGTCTACTGTAGATATGTTGATCCACAACGTTTCGGGACCTTTGCCAAATTCGACTAGCTCGACGATTTTCGGCAACTAAAGGAATATACCGAAGTATGTCCGTGGTGTTTGTTTCAGTCTGTCTGCTTTGCGGGGTTGATTTTCAGGCAGCATCCTGCACCAATCCGGTGATGTGCCGCACTGCTTCATCAATGTCTTCTGGAGATTTCAGTCGCAGTTTGAGGTTTACATTACTTTCCAAGCGTCTCTGTAAGGAAGTCCAGTCGGTATTTCTTGTAGTTAGTTTATGAGGAAGTGATTTTTTGTAACTATAGTGCTCAAACTAATTATAACTGGGGTGTGATCAGATGTGAGGTCAGCGTTTGATTCTATTGTGCAGTTGTTTCTTGTTACTTGGCACTACAGCCCCAGTGGGTCTAGGCCTACCTCCATGAACTTCTCCGTTCACTTCGGTTTTTCTAGATCTTACACATTCGATAGGACACCTTGGGCGGGTGATCAGCTCGTCGCAAGGCCTCTACCAGTACACAAACACAGAAAAACGCACACACACAAACTAAACATCCATTCGCTGAGTGAGATTCGAAACCACGATCCCGGTTTCCAAGCGAGCAAAGACAGTACATGCCTTAGACCGCTCGGCTACCGTGACCGGCGAGGGATAGATTTACGAATGATTACACAGGTCTGCAACCAAAAAAGTGCATAGGATATTTTTACTGTTTCTTATAGATTTTTACTCACTAAAACCGGAAATAATAGTAAAAAAATCCATCACGTTAATTTTTTTTTGCAAAACTCATATTTTTAGTTTAATTTTGCGTGAAATTTCTCTTCAACATGAAATCTGGTATCCTATTGTTGATTCTAAAAACCATATTCAAAAATTATTTCTTACTTTAAAATCATATTTATAAGAGTGAATCAAAAAATAATACAAATAGAAAATGGGTGGGATGGGGGGGCAGTGGAACGGGTTGGTAGGGTGGGTTTGGCGGTGTGAGGAGCTCAGGCGATCATGTCCCAATACGTTTACTTTGTTTGTAGCGAAAGGTGAGGAATCTTACTAGCTCGGTTGAGCATGTTTGCACATGTTCTTTGGGGCAACAGGAATGAGTATAAACAAGCATGCTGTCAGATTTTATCATGTCTCAACATGCTAAATAAGTTCAGGATCTTGGTTGATGTATAAGCCACTCAGTTTACATCCTGCATTCAAACGTGACTGTGCTCGTGTTTTAGCTCTGTATTATGGCTCAAAGAGGTTGTGTTATTTCTCCGGACAACTTTTGTTTTATTTGTGGTGAATACATAGTTAAAAGTCAACAAAGAAACATAAGTGATTTTGTGAAGAAAGTGTATTTTGCTTATTTCAAATTGAAATTTGGGGATCAAGACAAACCTTGGGCTCCTCACAAGGTGTGCAGAAGGTGCGAGGAAGATCTTCGTTTGTGGTTTAAGGGTAAGAAAAACTCATTTCGTTTTGACATTCCTATGATGTGGCGTGAACAGCAA